GTTTATATAGTTTGTAGCTGTGATTACTAAATTTTTAGGCATATAGCTGAAATGTATTCTGGACTAAGGCCTTTAAAAGAAACTTGTTTAATTTTTATGATTTAAAATGCTTCACACATGTCATCCCCATCTCACGCCCAGCAATTTGAGTTCAAATTTATTTTATCTTTATTATTTCAGTGGTCAAACAGGATCTGGAAAGACATTCACAATGATGGGTAAGTTTTGCTAAATATTATCAATAATTGATTTTATTATTTATTTACAGACAGGACAGATATGGCCAGTAAAAATTAGCCATACAAGATATTTAGAAAGCAATTCACAATTCATTGATGATATGCATTTTAATACTTATAGGGCCATCGGAGCAGGAAAATTTTGAACACCCACTACGTGGGGTTGTACCCCGTAGTATTGATTACATCTTTCATCTAATTGACAGAGAAAGAGAAAAGGTTAGTTAATAAATCCTAGAATTAAATCTCAATGGGCTAATACAAACCCTCCCTTCACAGTAAAATATATTTGATGAACAAATAGCCTAAGTGTTCAAATACCACAATGATCGATTTTCCTGAATGACTTGAAATGAAAATAAAAACCGAATGAAATGTTCAGCAATGAATCTCTTATTTACAATAAAATGAAACATTACTAATAAAAATAGCCATGCTTAATTGACTGTTGACCAGTTAATTTCTCTTGTATTTCTCTTTCCTCGCCCTTCCTGTTTACTCCTAATAACTTCAAGTTGCTAATCAGTAAATCAACTGAAATTATGTGCCCCCGTCTGTCTATTGACAGGTATCTCATACATTTCATTACATCTCTATCTTTTTTTTCTTACTATCTTACACTTTAAGAACGCCTCTCTTGATATATGTTTTTTCTAGCGTGGAGACCAGTTTGAGTTCCTCTGCAAGTGTTCGTTTCTGGAAATCTACAGGGAACAAGTCTTCGATCTCTTGGATCATGCTTCGAACTGTCTCCAGCTGCGAGAGAATGTCAAACGTGGCGTTTATGCTGATGGACTGATCGAGACGGCTGTTAATAACCCTCAAGATGCCTACCAGGTTGGCAGAATTAAAATCTTTGTGGAGAAAATAATTTTCAGTTACTGCTAATTTATATTGTGCTTAAATAAAGCATGGTAGAGAAATACTCACATTTGCATAACCATTTTATAATTTGTTTCCAGGTGCTTTCTAATGGTTGGATCAATCGCCGTGTGGCTGCTACCTCAATGAATCGTGAAAGTTCTCGGAGTCACGCTGTCTTGACACTCTCCATTGAAACAAAAGTATGCCCTTTATGTCTATTAAATATATGTATTACACAATTGAAGTAATATTTTATTCCAGAGTTTTAGTAGAATCAAAAAGAATTCTTAGGCTCTGTCCTGATTATCAAATTTTCTTTTGCCCATATATAGTCATGATGTGCCCATATATCTAATGTCATTATGACCATATTTAGGCATAACAATAATGATTTATAAACGGCATATTCTTGGAACCCCTACAGGCATTTTTAGAAACAAGAAAACAAAATAAAGGGAAATGTCATACTATACACATTTGCAAAATTGTTGTTTGTATAACAACATTTTTTTGTAAATTTGACATATGGGTTGAAATCCTGCAATGACCTCCCCTCCCTATTCCTAATCAGTTGCATATGCAAGTGGTGTGTTCACAATAATATATTCTTTGATGTTATGTTGTATATACATTGTAGCAATACAACTTTAAATACTCCATAAAATTATTTAATTCTAAGGAGAAACGTGGAAATGTGAGCAACATACGTGTCTCCCATCTTCACATGGTTGATCTAGCAGGCAGTGAACGCCAGAAAGATACACATGCTGTCGGTCAACGTGTTAAGGAAGCTGGGAGCATTAACTCATCGTTGTCAGTGTTAGGTCGGGTCATTACGGCTCTGGTTGACATTGGACAAGGCAAGAACCGATACGTACCATACCGGGAGTCCAAGCTGACTTTTCTTCTGAGGGTAGGTCATAACTTTTTCTAATTTTTAATAATGCACCTTAATATTGTATATTTTTCACATTGTTTATCGTAATCGCGCGAATAAGCGCAAGGGCTCTTAAAATATTTTTTGCACTTTCTGAGGGGTGCTTATTCAAATTTGGCGTTTATTCGCGCAAGTAGCAAGTAGCTGTGAAAAGTATTTGAACTTCAAAATCAATCATTTCTTCCTCATTTTCAATCTAAGTTCATGAATCATATTTTTTATTTTTAGGATGCACTCGGTGGTAACACCAAAACATTCATCATTGCTAATGTTCATCCTGGAATGCGGTATGTCACATATTTGTTTTATTTTAATCATTATTTCTATTTTATTATTAATATTTTTATTATAATCATATAATATTTTTATTTTCTTATTGTTATTATTATCAATCATATATTAACATGTGATCATAATATCATATTTCCTTTCCTAGCCAAATTGGAGAAACTATTTCAACTTTAAATTTTGCAAGAAGAGCAAAAATGATCAAAAATAGGGTAAGTGCATTGTGAACAAAAATATATACAACTGACAATGATGAAAGACACTAATAGAAATATCGAAAGTAACACATATTTTTTTTAATTGCTTTTCTGATGCTGCTAGGCTGTGATTAATGAAGATACACAAGGAAGCGTGCTACAGCTCAATGCTGAGATAAAGAGACTCAAAGATCAACTGAGCCAGTACACTACCGGCGCTATAGCAGCTGGTCTAGTCGATAACACAGGTACAATTGCTCAATTGAAATTCTCAAATTCTTTACAAACTTCCAATGAAACACAGATGAAAACAATTCTTTTTCTTTTCACCATAATGTAGAAGTCAGACCTGGTCCATCAAAGGGAGGTGATGCAAACAAGTGGCAGACTTGTTTTTTTGAAGCAATGTTGCTCTGGGAGAGAAGTGACTTAGCCAACAAGGTGAGGTTCTAACCAATTCTTCGCTCACATCAAGAACCAACACAATCAAAATATATTGCATTATTTCGTGAAAACACAAAGCGTGTCAAAATAAGCGTGTATTGGTTGTCAAGCACTTTTGTATTCTTTACCATACAAAAAGTTGTGAAGAACAACAGCACATATTTTAACGCACTAATGACAGTACATACATTGCATATCCTATATTCCTTTCATTTGTTTTTTAAAGACAATGGCAAGAAGAATATCACAGCTACAGAATGTGTGCAAGAAGAAGGACAATTTCCTGATGTCGAATAAGATGGTTATCAAACTACGAGAGAGCGCCCTCAATCGGCTACAAGAAGCACAAAAGGAAAAGCTGCCATTAGACGATAGAGACAACAGAATTGTAAGTACAGAGCAAGAGGAATAAGAGGAAAGACTAAAACTCTGTCCGGACTATCAAATACTATTTGACAAAAGCATGTAACATACCTAAATATGGTCATGACGACATCACATCATGACCATATATAGGCACATCATGACTATATATGGGCATGCAACAGTTATTTTGTCAATGAAAATTTGATAGTGTGGACAGCTCTTAAGGAAGTCACAGGAATCAATTCATTCATAATGTTTGACACTTGTTGTGTGCTAGAGGCCATGCTGAAATACTCCCTTGATTTACACTAAAAAATATCTGATTTTACTGTATTACCGTACCATCATTTGATGCCTGCTCTTTTCATCCATTGATTTTTTAGGAAGATTTACAGAAGGAGATTGAGCTATTGAAAGAGCAGTTAGACCACAACCCCACCGTTGCTAAGTTTGCCATGGAGAACTCGCATCTGCGCACAGAACTAAAAAGCCTACAAGCATCCGAGTCTGTTTTAAAAATGAATCAAATGACAGCCCAGCAGAAAGACCAGCTGCAGAAACAATTCCAAGAACTGACCGCTGAGATTGATGGTAAGGCAGTTACTCCTCTACCATTCAAATTACTTCTTGTTACATAAACTCATCTCTTTAACAGCTTGCCTTAACCTACATTATGCCTTTGATTATTTTTCTTTAGAATTGGAACATCACAAATTTTTATTATTGTTATTAATAGAATATCAGTGAACTAGAAAAGAAATAACATATAAACTTGAACATTATATTGTTGACATTCTCTATGCACAGTAATTTGAAAATTCTGACAGTCAAATAAGGTGGGAGGATCACAGACGATATGATGACATTAACAAATTTAGCTTGATTTGAATTTAATTTTATACATTCAGAATTAAAGAAAGTTGGTACCACGCCTTCCAGCGCTTCTCAAGCAAGGGATGGCAACACAGCTGTTGCTACAGTTGAGCGTTTCAAGTCTCAAATTGACAAGCTGAACACACAACTAAATGCTGTAAGTCGCTACATCTGAGGCTTTCTTTGTAGTCATGGGTGGTGTATGGATCCGTTCATCTCTTTTTTTAAATTATTTTTTGTCATTTTAATAATATTCAATGTATCTATCAGTATTGTCTTCTTCTGAAACATATAAACAATAAATTTCTTAAGTCTTGAAGATTTGCATGGCAAATTTAATTGATAATTTTGTATTTTATGTGCTTTGTGAGGAGACCCTTTTGATTCAGTTCGCTGTTGTGAATCCTGTCTTGGTTGTTCTTGTTTGTTGTTAATCGTTTTTTTGAGACAAAGAAATGAAATAAATAATTATAGGTTTTTGGTACACCATGTGACCTATGCTACAAATCTCAATTGATGGTACCTTGGTTCTGAGAAGAACTGTTTGGATTGTAATGTGCCAACACTTCAGTTAGTATACTTATGGAGGTATTAATACCTCCATGGTATACTCTAACCATCTTCAGGGGAAGAATGATGAAGAGCTGTCAGTGTAAGGATGGCCTTGTAAAGCTGATGGAGGCTCTAGGTGCTGAGCTGCTCTGTGATTGGATTTTCATATAAGATTCTATACTATATGTTCTAAGTATTGCTGCAGTAGTTTGTGTCCTGACCATTTTCATTCCCTTTCAGGCAAAACAGGAGCTATCAGAACAGGAGGAGCTCTACAAACGTAAGCAGATTGACATTGAGTCGCAGCTTGCAGCGGAGCATAAGACAAATAAGGAATTACAGCACGCCCTCGACGCCATCAAGTTGGCGAGTAAGATGGAGAGAGATGAACTTAATGGTATACATCTGCAGACCATTAAGGTGAATATAATCATGGACACTGATGTTACTATTATGTCTGTTTAAAATAATAATATATTAGTTATTGAATTTTAAAAACTAACATGTGACCTATGCTACTGCATGTTAATGTGTTAATGGACTTCTGAACACATGACTAGTAATATCGAAGGCACCATATATGGATACTGTGATTTGCATCCTTTTTTATACTTTGGAATCACTCAAAAATTAGACGAAGGAAACCTAATAAATCTATTATATTTTGTTAGAGTTACACTACTTTATACAAACTATTCGCATAGTGTTTTACATGATTAAATTGTGACTAATAATCGGGACCTATATCTGTATTGTTAACATAAGATATCAATATGGTAAAGTAAATCTATTTGAATTCAGGTTCAGGTTGGTAAAGCTGGTCTATAACTGTATGCATATTGCGGTGATATTATAAGAAACAATACTACTAGCTTATGTTTTAAACTTTGACATCATTCCAGACTATAACCACACCAAAGAAGGCAGGCTACCACCTTCGATCTAGGCTGATCATGCAAGCTAAGGGCCAAACTCCAGGTACACCTACCGCAGCATTGCCAGCACTCAAGCTGGATGAGGAAGATGACGGAATCCTGGAGGAAAAGATGCCGGATCACATGATTGAACAATGCAATGAAGCATTGATGGACCAGGTTAAGAAGTTACAGGTAAAGACAGGTGTTGGTTGGTCTTTAAAGGTGATGGTGATGATGATCTTGATGGTTATGATAATGGTGATGATAATATAATCATGGTGAAGGTGGTAGTAATATTGATAAAGGTGGTGATAGGGATGATGGTAATTTACTGATAAATACTACTGTATTAACTGGGCAGAATTTATATTAAAATATTTGATTAGTTTAAATAAAATTATATTTGTTTATTTTCAGAACAAAAATAATGAACTATTACAGCAAATTGAGAAAAGTGACACAGAGCGTATCAATTTGAAACAGACGGTATCCAAGCTGGAACTACAAATGGAACAGCTTAATCAGGTGAGGCAGGTAGTCAATGTGAGTGGCTCAGCTGTTGCATTTTAAGGCTCACAGTTGTAAGGTTAGGGTTCGAATCTTGGCCGGAGGAGGTTGCACTTTGTGTGTGATTGTTAATGTTTCCAATGAACAGGAGAATACTATAAAGGTAGAGATTTAGTCGTTTGAGATTGGAAAACACTGCAAATACCTGTATTTAGTATATTGATGAAGATGAAGTCAGATAACCTTTGAACTTCTTTTTTCTTATATCCATATTTATAATTTTGTCACAGATGCTTGATCAAGGTCGATCTGATTGGCAGACTGAACAACTTCAATTAACCAATCAGATTAGCTCTTTGACAACACAACTGGAGACAGTCACCAATCAATTTGAAGGTAAGTTTTTTTTGATAATTTGAAATGGTCACACTCAAGTTAGATGTATTTAATATAATTATTTTTACATATGAATATGATTGACGTGATTAATTGATTTTTTTTAAACAGTAAAAAATAGTTATATGTTAATTTTATTAATTTTTTCAGTTGCTAAATATGAATATGAGGACTTCAAAGTATTACTTCCACTGGCCTACAAAGAACTTGATCAAAAGAAGAATGCACACGAACTCATTGAGAGAAAGACCACAGAAGACATGGGTATACTACAGGCAAAGGTTTGTAAAGTCCTAAATGACCTGCTGCCCAGAGCTAATAAAGTTGTGTAAAAATATGTATAAAATAGTATACAAATATGCATGGATCAACTGTAGTGTATTTGTAGTTGTGTGATGTTTTTACATGAGATGAGACCTCTCCAGAAATGATAAGAAGGTTGAGTTCAAAATGTCAACATGTATTATGTATAACTCAATCATCTACTACACTATTGTGTATTATGATTGAGTTGCCAATATGTCTTCAAATTCTAGGGGATTTTTTTTAATATAGTTGTAGGCCTAGTCATAGATTTAGTACATCTGTCATTTATTTAGTTGATTTCTCATGTCTTTGTTTAGATTTGTGATCTGGAACATGATATCACAACAAAACAACGAGAGCTGGATGATCTTCAAGAAGAACATGACAGACTACAGGTGAGAACTTTGGCTGTAGAGCTCCAAATTGTCATTGGAATATGTACAATAATTTAATAGAACTTTCAGGAAAGAATCACACATTTCAAAGTGACAAGACACAAATTTGTGTGACTTTTTTTATGGGTTTTTTTTTATACAATTTAAAACTATTTCTGAATAGTTGCCTGGATAAACAGCAATAAACTAAACATCCCTTGCAGATAATAGAACAATCTGGCCCATAATAACTAAATATTAATGTGATTCTGGGCCTTTTTCATAATTGTGAACATCTGCTAAAATACTGCTAAACACTCCATGTTCGTTTACAGTTGTCATACACCAAGCAAGATTATTGTTTGGCTTTTTGAATTGTTATTTACTTGTAATCAATTATTGAATGTAGGATGACAATGGAGCATTACAGGCAGAAGTAGCAGTGAATGAACAACAGGTAGAGAACCTACAGACACAGCTCAACAACAGAAACCAAGAATACTCTCAGCTTGAAGCAGAGGTCCAGGTAAACACAAGTTTATTTTTTCCTTTAGCGAGGTTTGCCTGCATTATACACCCGCAAAAACATAACAGGGAGTTGATATGATATGAAAATGGCAATAATGCTGGGGTCAACACCACTTGTATCACAAAATAATATCACTTTGTATTAGTTCAGTTAAAAATGAATTGCTTTTTTCCATCAGTCACTACTTGAAAAGTTGGAGTTAGAGATTCAGAAAAGCAGCTTGCTGATGAGGGAGATGCACAACCAGGATTCAGAACAGAAGCAGCAATTAATAGAGGCTTTGGAGGAGAACTCACAGCTCAGGGAAGCTAGTATTCACAGCAACCAACTATGCAAATCACAGGTATAACTCAAGTATTAAAAAATTTATAATTTTTTTTTTATTGCTGTGTGCTTAGTTAGTAGCATACCCATGCAATAAGTGTTGAAATATTGAATTATTTTTTGGTATGTTGTACAACTGATATTTCTAAGACACCAAAACCTCATTTGATGAAAAACTTGGTAGCAGATAATGAGGTACAGATTTTGAATATTTAAAAAATGGGGGAAAAGGTGGGAAAAAGACTGGTTAAAGACTAGTTACACCCCGTTTTCTCCAGTTTTTAAATGTTCATCTGTTTATGTTTATTTGTATTACCCCTACAGCAAGAAGAAATTGAGAAGACAAGAAACGAATTTGTCACCGCACAGACCACCATTGCAGCCATGACCAAGCGAACGGAGGAAGATAAGGTTACTTTAATTATTATGATTTTACTTGTTCTTGGGATATCTGTTATTCTGTATATATTGTGGATGTGGATAAAAGTCACAATATGATTATTATGTACTGTTTGACTTAATAAATAAAACATAACATAATTCCTTTGCCAACAGGAAGCCATTTCAAATTTAATGACGACTGTTCAACAGCTGAGGACAGATAAACTGAAGTCCGATAGTGAATTAGCATCAGTTGTATCGACTGTACAGGATCTTCAAACACAGTGTGATGAATTGAAAACAGTTGAAGAACAACAAAAAAACAAAGTACAGGAAATGGAGGAGAATATGACAAGGAAGGAGGAGGAAATACAATCCCATAATGCAGCACACAATATGGAGGTATGAGTACATATCATGTTCATGTGTAGAACCTGTGTTCATACTGGGCCTACATTTTACTGAAATGCCAATTAAATATAATTTTAATAACAACAACAACAACAACAACAACAATAATAAAGATAGTATTAGTATTATGTCATGTCTTCTATGAAAACAACCCTCACTCTTTATTAATTTTTTTTTCTAAGATGGAGATGTTGAAAGAAGATCTGGAGGAGGCTGTACTACAGGCTGATGACCTGAGAGAGGCACTCAGTAAGCAAACTCAGCTGGCAGAGGTACAACTACAAGAACAGACTAACAAACTCCAAAAAATGGTGAGATATGTAACACTTTCCATATTAAAGTTAAAAAAAAAAAATGAAACAATGGAAAAGTGACGATGATTTGTGTGAAATTTAAGCATGTTGATATGGTTTACTTTATCATATGAGGCTTGCCAATCTAAAACCAGCGTATTGTCGCTAAATTTTAAACTGAGTAATTAGCATAAGAATGTGCCGGTATTGTATACAGAGAAGCGACGATACTTTTGCTTCGGCAATAATAAGTTGATTCCAGTAAATGATATTTTAAAGCTTATAATATGAAAAATATGAATATATTAAACAGTCAATTTTCTTCTTTTTTTTTTTACACACTGATGCTGGTTTTGGCATGGCAAGCCCCATATATCTAATGGTGCAAGGGTAAATACACTATTTAATGAAGTATTATATATTTTTACTAATAGATATCTATAAAGGAGCAAAAACTGGCTGAGACAGTTCAGATGTATGAAGAGAAATTAAATACGATAGAGAATAGCCAGAGGTCAACAGTGAATGAGACTGCAGAGGTCCAAGCCCAGGCCAACCAGCTACAGGTACAAATTGACCAGCAAGCCGCTGAGTTGATAGCTCTGAGGGATAGCCAGACCAAGGCCCGGGAGATGATACAACAATCTGAATACAGCAGAGAGGAAAAGAACAAAGAAATCAGCTTGCTTAAGGTACACTGTGAACAAACACAAATACACAACGCTAATAATGGTGATGATAGTTATGATGATAATAATACACAACACTAATAATGGTGATGATAGTGATGATGATAATAATACACAACACTAATAATGATGATGATAGAGATGATGATAATAATACACAACACTAATAATGGTGATGATAATGATGATGATAATAATACACAACACTAATAATGGTGATGATGGTGATGATAAAATATATATTAATGATAATCATACTGATGTTAGTGATAAAGATTAGGGGGTGATGTTGACGGCAATAATGTGGCTGGAGATGATGTTAAATAATAATGAGGAGAATAACCATTCTGTTGAAGGTGATGATGATGCTGATGAAAAAGATGAGGACAATAATCCTGCTGATTGGAAAATATATTTTTTAGTAACTCAGCATCTACCAATTCCCGCTCACAATACTTCTTATTTTTGCCATCTATGCTCCCTCACTTGTTTATTTACCTCATCAACTACCTGAGGAACAAATATTCTTGACTTGCTTTAATCATTTCATTTTGCAAATTCCTACAGGAGCAATTGACAGAAATTGGAGAACTACGGACAGAAAATGAGAGATATAAAAATAAATGTTCTGAATTGGAAACTGAAATAGAAGAAAATAAGGAAAGGTAAAGTTGTTTGGGTTTGAATGCATGTGTATATGTTGGTTGTTATGTAAATGAATATCAGTTGTTCAAAACACATTTATTCTTTAATAATTTATAGTTGACCAGTGCTTCTAACAATTATAGAATTGTTTATGTTTTTATACACATGTATTGGTTGGTATGTAAATGCTTATTTACCAGTTGCATATCAGCCATTTTAATAAAAGACAACAACAATTATATATAATTTTCTAGGTTTGTGGAGATTCATGTGTTAACAGAGGAGCTGCGGGGTGAAGCAGACAGAGCTAACTTTGGGTTTGACAGCTCCAACAAGATCAAGGATGAAGTGATAGAGGAGAAGATGGGACTATTGAAAGAGTAAGTTCCTTTCAACTGCCCTAGTCTGTTTCTAGCATTTTTTCCCTTGGCTATGATTATTTGTTACATTTAGTCAGTGTCGCAAGAAACAGCTCTCTGAAATAAGTTTATTGGGTGCTATTGCAAGCTCATATATTATTATTATTATTGCCAATAACTAATATACCAGTTGAATTTGCCTAAGTCGATCCAAAACGGCATTGAAAAACTGTTTGACTCAGAGGGTGTTAATGGAAAACACAACAATTTGGCATGTAAAATAAGATCAGATAAAATTTGACTAAGAGATTGTTAATGAAAAACACAAAAATTTTGCATGTAAATAAGATCGACTTAGAAATTATTTGACTGGCAAGTTTAACTGTATTATTAAAACATTTAAAATATGTGTTGATTTATTATAATATGCCTAATTGTATAATAATAGTATTACAGTTGTATCACTGTTATTGATGGTGTTATTACTGTATTATTGTTTTATAATTGTCATTTTGATGTGTATTTTGATGTAAATATCATAGGAGTGATGTTTTGCACTACCTGACGTGTTACCGTACTGAATACTCAGTACACTCCCAAATACTTAACGGAAAAATTTTTCTCATCATAATTTTTGGGGTTTTCTCTAAACAGAATAGCTGACATGAAGGTACTGTTGAAAGAAATGGAAGAAAGCAAAGGGCAACTAGAGGGAGAGTTGGAAAGGTGAGCATCTTGTAGTTTGATAGTCTGCTATGCAGATTAGGAAGACACCTGATGACAGTCGTTATGCAACTGTATTAGCAACACACCTGATAGACATCTGCAGTGGCAGATTCAAGGGAGTCCCCTAGATTCTTCAAAATAATTTAAGAAAAGTAAAGAAAAAAGGAAAATTTTAATCAAACTAAGCCATTTCCGATCATCTAGAAGTGCCGTAATAATAAATTTTCTTACCTACAGTAGGTGGTTTAGACTCTCCATCTGTGAAAGTCCCTCCCTGTCTACACCTAATGATTGTTACCATTTGTAACATATGCATGGTCAGTGAAATAATGCGTTATTGGCTTGTTTTTCATTTATATTTATGCTATAGAACCCGAGCACTTGAATACTCAGCATTTGAAAAGAAACAAGATCTTGAATCTAAACTGGAACAAATTATAGAAGAGAAGTCCAGACTGCAGCAGGTAAGACCTCAAGTACCTACAGCAATGCATTATGAGCTATGAAATAAAACCCTTCCCAGAAAACTCAAGCCTACTTCTTTTTTTTTTCATCGCTTAGGATCTTGAGAAAACAAAGAAAAACAATGAGACACTAAGCACAGAGAATGCCAAACTTGTCGGCCACCAAAATATAAAGCAGAAGATCCAACATCATCTACAGATCAAGAAAGAGAACAACCAGTTAAAAGAGGTAATGGTGAAGTAGAAAAATCAATTGATGGTATAGCATCACTACCTTCTACCAACTCAATCTAGAGATTACTCTGACAAAATAATATTACGATTACTGTATGTTGTTTCTAAGTAGTTTAAGGCATGTTAGGTTGAATTAATATTGCTAAGACATCATTTACATTACTACATTACATCTTTCTAAAATAAATTTAGTAGTTTGATATTTATTTATCTGCTCTTCATAGGAAATCGCAAGGCTCAGTGCTGAGATGTTGGTGATGAAACAAGAATCTGACGGAAGTAAACGAAAGAGGCATTGTAGCCGCCGCCAGGAAGACGAACAACAACCATCCACACTCAAGGAAAACTCAACTCCCCACTTTGTAGTAATTTAGGAACATATTAGGAATAGCACTGTGTTATACTACATGGACAACATATTTGTTCTGAACTATAGTCTACCTCATCTGCTATATATATATATTGGAGGAGGTAGGACAATCCTGTACATTTTCATTGATAAATATCACATGGTACAGATCAGGGTCATGTCTTTTTAATACAACAGTGGTCAACTTTATCCAATTTTAAAGTTTAAAATCATGTGAAAGTTTCAATGTAATAAGTTTTCATTGATAGTTTTTAAAGTGTCTGAAAATTGATAAATAACAAATTTAATTGTATTTTACAGTATTCTAAACTTTTTTTTGTTACATTGTTTTGTGCAGTTGTATATACAAGTAAACGTTTAAAACTGTAGTATATTTTAGGAACTGAAATCATGGCAGAAATTCAACTCTTAAAGTCAGACTCTGTTCCTGGATTATGTTTATCTAATAGTGAACTTCATTAACAGTCTCCTATCCTATCCCACCCACTCCATTTCTTCTTATTACCGCTTCTTATGTTGAACATGTTATTATGTGACTACAGACATTATTTTTATTACACTTTTTGTCTTAGAAAATTGAAGTACTGTTGTGTGATTTTATAGTAGGCCTGGGTTAGACGCCCAACCATCAAACTCTTATGTTTTAAATAATATTACTTTCTGATTACTTATAATTGTAAGTTTTTATTATGTGGAAAGTGTCATGAATGCAAGTGAAATCCTAACTACTCAACACTGTTTACACAATGTTCATATACAATCAATTAAAGAAAAATATTTAGGTAATCTGAACTTGTACATAATATGGCATCTTTGAATAAATTTTATTAGTGATATTAATAATTTGTTGTATCGTAGTCTTTCTATGAATGATTCTTTATTCAATCATATTACATTATCGGGGTACCTTGTACAGGGTAGTTGCCACTTCCAAAACATCCACCAGGGATTATAACTGGAAGTTCATGGTAGGAGTATTCTCGTCGCGGCCCTGTTGTTCAACTAGTTCTACCACCACCACCATTATACAACCAGAAATATAAAAACATTGAACATCATGCCTGAAGATACAAACACAAGGCAAAGAAGTGTGTCCAGCTATGGCTGGGAAAACTTTAGTGTTGTACATAGACTTTGATAAGAAGATTACATTATAGCAAACTTAAATCATTTTGAATCCATGGTAGATCCATGAGGTTTTTGCCAGGTTGTGCGAGACAGACGTAGACCATCATCCTAGGTTACAAGTGTTTTTTAATTAATGTACAACAATACACTTTCATCTGCTACTGCACTTCATAATCCACTGTTGTGTATTTCATGAAATTCATTATTGTACAACCAAGTGGTGGCGCCAGGGGGAAAATTTCATGAGGTCGTCGGAATCAAAAAGAATAATAATAATTTGCCTATCCGAATAATGTTATTTTGATTGCCCATTCCTAATAGTGTGGTTTAAAAACACAATTTGGACAATACTAAGCCATAAAACTCTCCCTGTGTTAACCCTACAAGGGACTTTTTATTCTGAGGCTGACGGAGGCTCTTAGGTTCGAGGCCCTCTGTTGGACATGTTGGCAAGTTTGTTGGCAAATTTCTGTAGCCACCACTGTGTACTACCACATGGGTATGTATACAGATTGATGGTCTTTGGCCACATAATTTCGGATTTGGCACTGCTAGAAAATTACAAAGCAAAATAATTATGATGAAGATATGATCTGTTGTGGTGTTTTTTGAAAATTAATATTTATTTGTTTAAAGAGTAAGTGTAATGGAACGTTACATTATTATATTTAAGACAATCTCTTTTTATGTTTCTACTGGGTGTCCTTGCTGTTGTACAGTAGTGACTTTCTTCACTTGCTTTTTTTACATGTTTAATGTCTTGGGATTTGTAGTGTATAGGAACTTTGTTCCTCCTTGGTTTCTCCCTCTTCCTGTTATTGTTTTTTAGGAAATTAAAATATTATTAATATTACCTTTATATACAAAAACAAAACAATCACATATTGAAGTCCTTCAATGTATTTATTTAGAAGGCTACATACTTGTAACCCTATAAAACTGTACATAACAATGCAAGAAACGAAATTCACCTTGCGCAAACAATTATTTATACACACAGGTGCACCAATACACCTGTTGATTAATGACACGTCGATACAAGACTGAATTTTAAAACATACAGGTGAATATTACTGGCATTAAATCATGTCAGCTAAACGAAGCCCCCCTCCCCCTCCCCCTCCCACTCGAAAAGTAACAAGTAACCCAACCCCAATGTGTAAATTTCAACATCATTTTTACTTAGACACAAATCCTACTGGAAAATCATACCTGCCTAAATACCTGTACCCCTCCTTAAATTATTCATTTTTATGACATGGACATCATCTATTGATGAACAAAATTAGACATTAGCAATTTTAATCACTTTAAATTATTACAATTACATAGAGGAACACAACATGTTCTAGACACTTCACACAGCAGGAAGCAATCTCCTTAATTATAATGCCACGTTAACTGAAAATTACAGCACCAATTGGCAATGTACAGTATTTAAACAGAGTATATATTGAGTGTAGCTCTGTTAAAGGACTAGGGTCTCCACTGACCTTTAAACAAAATCTTCTTATCTGCCACACAGTGGTGTATCTCAGAGCACAGACATGGTAAGTGGTGGGAAGACTGGGATGCGAGTATTTGAAATGCTTGCCTTCTAATCTGTGGGTTCAAATCCTGTGAAAGCACAACTTTTTCTCATGACTAAACAACTCCACTCCCTAAAGGCGAGACTTTTTTAATATGTTGTTTAGCAAACCTGCCAAATGCAAATATTAATGATTTCGAATAAAATTAAAATTTTATTTGTGGCCAATTAGCGCACCGGCCGCGACGGAAAATGGAAATTTCAAAAAAAAAAAAGTTCTTTATTTTTATTACGCCCTCCGCTGTCTCGAAATCTCAAAAGATATGTATATTTCTTCCTAATTATATAAATTTGAAGCAGTTAACCGTCCTATTTTACATTCAGCAATAAAATTTTATATTTATTTTCTCTTCCGTCTGGATGATTTTGGCAAAACTATTTGATAAATAAGAAAACAAAATTTTAATTTTATTCCACCGTCCTCTGATGATCCTTAAAAAACATAAGTACGCGAAACAAGGGATTAAAAAAGTCTCGCTTACGCCTCATAAAGAGACTTCACTGATAAAAGAATCACATTACTGTATTTCATTTATTTAAAGAAGGCCCCTGAATATCAGCTGACCTTCTAGGATATGGTGGAAGGGTTACCCTCTATAAATATGGTTAAAACAAATAAGTGAAATTAAAAAACTACTGGGAAAATGCAGGGATAGGAATTGTCTTCTGTAATATTTTTCCCCCTAGCAAGTTCAAAGAACCACTCTTCCTACACCACTTTTTTTCTATTGAAAAGCACCTCTCAGTATAGAGTAAGGGTCTGTATTGTGTTAATTAACTTGTAGTAAACTTTGCCTATCACACCACAAAGGTATAAATCTTAAATATATTTATTGAAGCACAGCTAATCTTATTTTCTCATTGGCAGGTCAGTTCTGTCACCAAGTTGTTTACCCGGGACATAAAATATCTTAAGCACATCTTAAATATATTTGTACCGGTAAAGTGCACTCTCTGCAGAGGCGAGATAAATGGCAGGTTTTATAGCATTCTTTGTAATTAATAATGCATTGATCCACACACATAGACAAATGTTTCTTTTTCTTGCATGATTGTAAACTTTAGCATTATCAATAAAACTTCTGCTAAATCAGCATTTAAAATGAGCATTTTAGTGATTGTAAATGTTTGATTACACAAACTTTCATGGCACGATATCTGACTGGTTTGCGTTGCACCTTTACACTGGTAGTTCCTAAATACCACCGCTTCAGCCGAGGGAGGTGTGGCTTGTATGGTGACGTCATGCATAATTTGTTAATACAATTGTGACATGATATAGGCCTATCTGTAGGCTCACAATTATTGAAGACACTTGTCTGTTATTTTAATTGAATTATGCTTAGTACAGTATTACAGTGACCTTCTTTCATGTTTTCATTTCTTTCTGTGATTATGGCCAATCCCTATCTCTAAAATAAGACTAACTATTTATATTATTTCACTCTGTGTAGATCCTATAAAATGTTAATATTTTGGAAAAAAAACCACACAGGGACAACTAATTTTGTTTACGTTGGTTGTACGGTAGTGAATTTTGTTATGCATGTCAATACCAGGGCCAATCTCAGTCGAGATTAGGGATGATGTACTACAGCTTAAATTATACAAGACGTCCTCATAGGAGGCCACACCTCCCTCAGCTGAAGTAGTGGTATTTAGCGACTACACTTTACACTGATGAGGTGATCATTTTGTTCACTTCTGGGTTCAGCCAACTCTGAGTAATGTCATCGAGATGGCAGTCATAATCTTGCAGGGATAAATAAGCTTTTGATGTTAGTAGACCTGAGGTAATTGCAAGGCAGGAATCGCCTTCAAGCTCAACACTGGTGAAATGGGAAAAAAAACCATATCACAGTAAATAAAAGAGTCTTCAAAAAAGATTTTTACTGTAAATGAGACAATGGTTCTATAATTTTCAAGGGGTGTTCTAGTTAAAAGAACATTGGCAATAAAGTAGATTTATCAAGGGGAAGTATTCTGAAAATGCATACATCACAACTTCACTACCCAAATAGGTCATCATAAGAAAAAAAAAACACAACATATATATACAGTATCATGGTTTTGATTTAATAGAGTTACCCAAAAATGGAATAGGGATGCATCTTGACTTACCACTTCTGTGTAACTTCGTCCCAATCCCTACCCTTCCCAATATCAAAATAGATTCCAAAACTGTGTCCCCCTCTGCATTGTGAATCCTGCATTTGTCTATATGCAAAGCTAGACACAAGATCAAGAATGAGGATGTTTAATTGATAATTTTGGTGTTACCTGCTTTGTTTCTTTTTCCACTCATTTGATAATTTTGGTGTTACCTGCTTTGTTTCTTTTTCCACTCATTGTTAACATGTGTATACAGCTCAAATACTTGTTCTTCACAATCCATTGATAATCTGCTATTGTCCATCTGAGTCAAAAAAAAAATTAAAATAACTACATTACATTACAATATTATTATTTTCATTACCCCGGCCAGTGACGTATCTCGGAGTCTTGAATTGGGGAAAGGGCTGATGGAGGGGTGCAAAGGTGATGTAGGGGAGCTTGATGACTAGGTGAGGAGTATTAGCTCACAAATAAAAATTATTTGAGGTGATTTTTAACTACTTGTGAGCATAATATTTTGGCGGTGACTGAGGGGTGTGCATTTTTTTTGGGGGGGGGGGGGAGG